ATTTTCTCCATACGTTGACATGCAGATGGCAGTGCCTGAGAGTGCCATGGTGATAATTTCCCTTGTGTGGCATCACCCAGAGACATCAAGCTGTCAGCGTTCGGATGACATAAGAACTGAAGCACCAGAGATTTTGTTTGGCTTCTATGTGACCAGCTTTGCTCCCTGTTGGTTTTTTTCCTCCTCTCTGCTGTCCAAAATGTGAGGCGTGCTTTCTAATGAGAAATCAATAGAGTGCAGACTCACTTTGTTAAGCTCGTGTCACGCACACAAGATGACAAGAGACACTGCAGACAGCAAAGCAGCTAAAATGTCCCCTGGCTAATAGCTGCTTGGAAATGCTGATGCTTTTTTAGGGCAGAGCATAGCTTGTGCTTCCTGAGGAGAAGGGGGAATTTTGAGTGGCGCATCGGCACCCTGGAGTTGATTTCACATATGTTCCAGGCAGGCATCCTGCTTTTCTCTCATCAGTTATGTCCTCTTCAAATTCTGCAGTATATCTCTCAGTCCTTTGAATGCTGCATCTATACAGGTTTGGAATAACCTGTTTTCTTTGTAGGCTTTGTGTGTGTATCTGGCTAGAGACCAGAGCAAGAGAACAGCCTAACAATGCAGTAGAAATCCAGAAACACTGGCCTAGAGAAGGACGCTTGCTTGAAGTATGAGATGATTGAGTCTGTGCTGGAAGAGCTGACTGTCATCATAGACTTGCAAATGCCTCTTGGAATAGGGAGAAGTGATCCATGGGCGTGGGAACAGGCACAGCTCGGTTGTCTCTTTGTAGTCATGGAACTAAGTGGTCTTCTCCTGAGGCTTGAGCAGCTGGGGCTTCACCTCTGATCTCTGATGGAGCTGATGGTGCCGTTCCCTTCCCACCCCCTGGCTGCTTTGTGTACAGTGCAAGCTCTGAGTGTACAAGTCACTTTGCTCGTGCAGCTTCTTGCACAATACTGGAGCTGCTACACTAGCCTGTAGACACTCCCTTAATCCAAACAACAGCACACAAAGGCTGTTTACTCAGGATACCCACTGCTCCTCAGGGTATGCTTCAGAAACCACACAGACTGCAAACGTCATAAAATATGTAACTGTGACCTCTCACAAAAAAGTAATTGGGTGATTTATAATAAATGACCACTTTACTTGACTTTAAAAAGCACGCCAGTGAGAAGAGCAGAAAATGAAAGATGCCATTGTAATTTCTGTCTCTTATCATAGGACTCTTCCTCAGCTACAAGCCCTGGGACTTCAGATTCTACCCGAGGAGAGGTGACCCATCTGTCATCTGGTTTGAAGTGGATCAACTGCATTCCAGGCTGTGTAAGAAGAGAGTGTCTTTCAAGCTGAACCTCCCTCAATAATGGCTGTGTTGGTTTGTACTGATGGAGATCACATCCTGCATTTCATTACAGAGCTCTGCTCGCTGTGGTCCTTGCAGCACGTTGTCTGCTTGGCAGCTGCTTTGCATCCTGGAGTTGGCTGCAGTTCAGTGGTAAAAGAATTCTTAACTGTTTGTCATTGTAAAGCACTTTGGGATGAGTGGTGTTACATAAATGTGAGGTTATGATTAGGCATTATGCACTGGAATAACGAAGAATATTTAAATGCTCTTTTTCTAGTGCATCTTATTTAATATGGGGGGGAATCAATTTATCACTGTCTTGCTATGACTTTCTCCTGCCCCTCCAGCTAGCATTGTGCACTGCAGATTATGCATTGCAGGAGAGAAAATGGTTGACTGTCAATGGCAGCCTGATTACACAGGTCCCTGTGATTCACAAATCGAATCCAAGCCAGCTATCCTCAGTGGCTCTTGGAATTCTGCTTTCAAATGTTTTCATCCAAACAAGCCTGTGACCCTGAACCCACAAGCCCATGTTACACAACATCTCCCAGCTGCTGGGAAGGGGCTGGCACATGGGGTGACTGCAGTGCCCGTGGCACACCCAGGACTGAGGGCACCAAGGCTGGTGGCATCAGCTGCTCTGCCTGTGCCAGGGCACTCTGGAAATCTTGTGGAAACGCTGACTCGAGGTTGAAAATTTAAGACCCCGGTGTTCGGTCCCTTCTGGATAAAACCAGATCTGATTAGACACACCAAAGTTCTCTAATTACTTGCCTTGTGTATCTTAATGAGCAGATGAGAAAGGCCTTAGGACTCGGTTCTTGTTTTTCAGCTCTGTGCTTTGCTTTTGGCTTCCTCAGCTGCAGCAGCAGAGATCACAGAAAGCTGCACTGCAGAATCAGTGAGGTAAAACCAGAGATGGCAAGAGCTGCCCAGCTTCCTCTGACTGCCCCGAGACCTGGTGGGATGCTCAGTCCTCCTGCTCCTGCCTTCATTCTGGAAGTTATCTGTCCAAATGTCCAGCATTATTGTACCAAATGCCCTGCACCCCTCACCTTCCAAAGGATTCCCAGGAGACTCCAGGGTTGTGCTCCAATGGATGAATCTTGTACATTGAAGAGTACTGAGGAACAAAAAATACCTCAGAGACCCCAGTTGTCTCATTTCAGGCAAAGCTTTGGGTGAGGTGAAGTAATTGGGAGTGTTTCTGGCAATATGATCTGGTTTTGTGCCAGCTGTTTAGTGTTGGGTGTTTCTGCCAACCTGGGAAGTGTTTTCTTATGCAGGGTGATCCTTGGAAACTTACCCCAAAACACTGGGGCCCTGTGAAGCAGGAGCAGTGCCTCTACCACAGACTGCTTACTCAGTTCTCTCTTTAATTTCAGATAGAAGCAACCCTAGACATGACTGTTTGGTAACAATCCTGACAGCTGGGGCAATAGATGTTTGTTTGCTTTGTGTCTAACACCTACAACTTCTTTATTGTCAAAGAAAAAGGACTGAACTTACTTAAAAGTTGGCTCTTTTTTTTTTTTTTTTCAATTTCAAGCTGATGCCTGGTTGAAAACTAGCTCAAACAGGCCTGTGTAATTAAAGTAGTTCATAGCAGAACTTCCAGTTCTAGGTGTACAAACAGATAGGGAGTAAAAACACAATTATTGACTTGATGGGAAGAAATTATAGTTCTCTGCTTGTCTGTGGGAGAAGGGCTCTGGCAGAGCTGGCTTGGAATGGGGAAGGTTACAAATGGCAAGTGTTGAACTTGCCACAAAGCAGAACTGTTATGGGAATTTTATTTGAACTGTTGTGCTATTTGTACAAAAACAATCAGATGTATTTTTAGCTTGTGAATTCTGTTGGAAAAATTCTTTGTGTGAGATGTCACCTTGCCAGCTGAATACTCTAGTCACAACAT